ATATTTATATTTATATTTATATTTATATTTTACAACCCTCCAACTGAAGTTATGCTGAAATGCTCAGAATTCTTTATAGTTGACCATGATAATTAAGACTGATGGAGGACAATCCTTTTTCATACCAGAATTTTTTAACACCTGCTGGTGTCCCATCAATTTCATAATTCCATATTTTTCTACTTGCGATATTTGCAGAATTCCTATACCCTTTATTGGAATTTTTTTTTGCCTATACAAACAATATGAATAAGGAATTGAGTGATCTAGATCAAGGGTCATCAACCTTTTGCACCTCAGGGACCACCAAACTCGTAATTTTAAATCCCATGGACCACTAATAGGAATTTTGACTGAGGATGGCTTGCTGACATTGGTGGGAAAGTCAGTCCCATATTCCAGAGCTGCAGGAGTCACAGGACTTTCCCTTTGGTCATCCCAGAGCAGCTGCTCCTCCACCCGGGTGCAGTGGCCTGTCATTGACTGGAGGACCTGCTCTGGGATGACCAAAGGGCCAGTCTTGTGACTACTGCAACTCTGGAATATGGAACCGACTTTCCCACCAATGTCAGCAAGCCACCCCGGGGTGGCTTTCCCTCCCCCGCTGTTGGTCTTACCTTCCATTTCAGCTCGCGTGGCTTTATTCAAGGTAAGGTTTGTGCTCGGCCGAAGGGTGGGGGCCAGCAGATGGGCAGGCCATGTGGGCAGCACAGCCTTGTGTTCCTGCACAGTGTGGATTAATTGCTTTGGGGGGAGTGTTTTGTGGGGGACATTTCTCTGTGGACCACCAAAATTTCCTCACGGACAACCAGTGGTCCCTGGCCCACTAGTTGGCAACCACTGATCTAGATTGGGACTGCAGCATATAGCAAATGACTAAGCTTTCACTACTAATTAATTAATGTCCTGCTGCACTTTGCTATTTCGTGGGTTTTTGTAAAAAAAAAAAATCTTTGTAACTGCCATTTCTATGAAAAAGCATTCTATCTACTCTGAACTTGTTTTTAAATGCATCTATTTACAATGAATAAATTTACAATCTTCAACAGAGCATCCTGTTAAGTAACCAAGTTCAGTCTTATGCTTAAATGCATATTCAGCCTGACTCATTTCAAAGTTCTTTAATCACACTTCATTTTCACTGATTGCACCTGCTGACTTCGTCAAAAAATACATGCAAAATGTGTCTCCTGTTATAAAGGAAATTGATAATGAATTACCCTTCGGGCTGCAAGGTTCCCAGTTATCTCACTGACTCTCGATTTTCTTTGATTTGCCAGTTCTTTCACAGAATTAACACCATCAGAAAACATACTGATTACCAACTGAAGTGGAACTACAATGTCCAATTCAGATAACACCTGAAAAAAAGAAGAAGACAGTGTTCTCAGGTTCAACTAAAAACTGAAGCGCTAGTGTATATTTTAGAAATTAGGTCAAAATGAAAAATGAACTTAAAAGCATGCATTTAATTTAGATCTAGCGCATGGGGGTTGAAACTGAAGTTGTAGAATTTATGGACTGCAATCTGTGTGATGATCAACTGAACTGTGAATAAATGAAACAAACAAAATGTTAAAAAGTTGTGATATTTATGTAGTTACTTACCAAGCACATCTGAATTATATTAAATTAACCACAATATCGTTACAGTCCCCAAAGCACCCCTAATGTTTGGAAATTGAAAGATGAAAAATTTGACACGCCCTAGTTGGTGTATACATGGCACTAATTATGTTTATGTGAGGCTTAGTATGATATATTAATTGTACCATTGAAACTATGGTTTATAGTTTAGCAAACCATACAAACTCAATTTTTATTATTTGTTCAACAGATCAAAGTCAAATAATCATGGTTAATATATGTGAACCCAGCTTCTGCTTTTAGGTTGGCTTCCTCAAAGAGACTCTTAATGCGAGTCATCTAAAATTATTACTGCAGCCTTAATTTCTTAAATGTACATCTTTCTGTCATGACAAAACTTATAGATAGAATGACCACATTGCTTTCTAACAGATACAACCAAATGCTTATCTGATTAGCCTCTGCATCAGATGCCTCTGTATGATTTCTTGAGATTGCATTAACTTCATAACAGGTAGCAAGGAAAAGGAAGTAAGAGTACAGACTCTGTAAGCTATTTTATGAGTTGAACACTGAAAGTGTCTCACAGATGACAAAGCTTGATCATAGGTAGCTCCAAGACAATAACAGTAGAAGCCACCTAATGTTTGCTTGGGATAGTGAGCCAAAATACCAACTAATGCTAATAATTAAAAAAATGATAGACACATTAAATAATTAGTAGGATTAGTTTATATTAATTTTGTGTTGATGCACACAAATACCATCTGGGAACTATGTCCTATTATCATACTATAATGTATGACTTTCATAGGATGTTTTGATCAAAGATATGTCAGCACTCACATGAAGCCAGAGTAGAGCTTGTTCTTGTACAGAGGATGAATATCCTGTGAATCGACAGCTTATGAAGCCAAACATTTCCTCCATAGAAAAAGGGAGTGGGCATAGCTCAATATCAAACATTTTACTGCAATACACAAAGGCAAAAAAATTGATTAGCAAGTTCTTTTAGATGGCTGCCAAAAAGAGCAAAGGCTGTCCACAAATTTTTAAAAGGACACTTAAACAATTCTAATTACTAATTGATGCATTATTTATGAAACCAGCTGTTTGTAAAACATTTAAAATTTAAAATGTTTTGAATCTGAAGCACCCTGCTCTGATCCAGGACAGCTAGTCTAAAAATTCCAGAAGTCTAAGATCAAAGCAATCCTATTTCAAGCTCCAAACTTTGGTTTCAAATAACACACTATAATTTTTATTTATTTATTTTTAAGCACACTATATTTTTTATTTATTTTTAAATAGTTTGCATATTTGGAAACTTTGGAACTTTATAAAATAAAATCTGCACTAAAGGCTGAAATTCTGTAATATATTATACAAAGTAAACAAATGTCTTATGTTCTATTCATATCATGCCATACATAGTTATACTGCTTATTTAAGGTAGGCTTTTGGCTTAAGTGCTTCATTAGACATTTGATCAGGAAAATATTATATATATGTAAAGGTTCTACATCATATAGCAGTAGTTTTTACTGGAATAAATTCCAAATGTGACTATGCCAATTGGTGGTCATGAAAAGAGCAAACAGTCCTATGGAATTTTGAAAAGAAATAAGATTATGTAAGAAGATTCTATGAGAAGCATGAAAAGGACAATGAAGAAGTTTGACATATATGAAAGGATAGAGAATACCTTAGAATCTCAATTTTTAAGACCCTTTTAATCCAAACTTTGATCAGTGCAAGTAGTGTAGAATTATAGCATTTCTGTTCATGATTTCCCATCTTTGCTCAAATATCTCCAGTGAAAAAGGCCCATCGGTCCTATAAGCTGCAATAGTGTATATTCCTGACCATTAGGAAGTTTAACAGTTTCTAATTCCCTCTTTAGAAAGTAATGTAATTATATAATTTATGGATGCTTTTATTTTTGTATTACACATGTACCATTCTGAACTGATAATAAAATGGGAAGGAATTCAAATTCAACTGAAGTAAATATGTCATCTCTCTCTACAATCAAAATCAAAGTATGATATATCGATTACTGCAACTCTTTGGCTATCCACCTTTTTAAAAAGATGCAAATTAAACAATACCACAGAGAATTATGATTGTAGGTGCTTGCTCTTCTGCAACTTGGAATTTTATTGATATATCAATATCAAGAACTAATGTTCAACCTATAAGTTCCTAAATAACATTCACAGACCTCCAAGACTTGAATCAAACCATTGGCTAAGGAGGCATCTCAAGAGGTTTAGAATTTGAAAGTGCTTTCTTGCAATTGAAACTTTGTGTCCAATCCAGATCTGATGTTTTTGGGGAAAGCAACTGCATTTTTTCCAAGGGCTTGAAATTTCATATATGTTACAGAACATATTTCATGTCTGACATTCCATTTATAAAGTTGCAGTTTAGATTTGTAAGGCTTGGATTACAGTCTGAAAGTTGACTAACATATAAGCTTCAATTCCTCCAACAGGAATTAAAAAGACTGCATATTGTTCCACTTACCTTAATACTTCCCTGAATTCCTTTAGTTGAGTATCTGGCACTTCAGTCCTGATGGCTTCCAGCCATTCTGGCATAATACAGTCCCACACAGGTTGATTGATTACATTGTATGGAATTAAGCAGAGGATCCGATTCAGACCTTCCTTTAATTGTGTCACCGTGCTACATGACTTATCCCAATATCCACCTACCTGAGGACATTGCCAAGGGGGGAAAAGCTGGTATTAAATGTCATATATTAAATGTCATATAGTACTGAAGGCACTAAATGTAGCTAGCACTACATTTTCTTTTTGTGCACAACAAGCACTCAAAATATTAAACTTTGTAATTTAAGACTGCTAGGAATATCCATTACTTATGGATCTAAATATGTTTATCTGTGACATTGCTACAAATCAAGAACTATGTAACTCTTACCCTTGCAAATTCCATTGGTTTAGGAAGAAGGCACATCACCATGACATCAAATCTAACATCGCACACTGTTTTCAGCCATTTAGTGACAAATTGGGGTTTGAGTTTCTCCACTAGGCTGCCAACTTCATCATCCATCATGTATGCCGTGGAGTGGAACCACTGGAAAACCATGCTGACAAGCCGTGCCAAACTCTCAGTAGGAGTGTTCTCGCTAGGGGTGCAGAGGCTAACCTGCAAACAAAATGTGCTCAATTTTTCTCTTTATTTTTTGCAAAAAAAACCCAAGAAAAACGTGTTTTTTTTTAGATAGATTAACTAACAAAGGCACAAAAACTTGGGGAAAGAACTATTTATTTATTTATTTGGTTTGTCAATAACTTACAAGATAATAGGAATAAGTATAAACATGAGTAAGAATACAGGAAATAGATACAAATAAATGAGGACAATAGGACACGGATGGTAGGCACCATTGTGCACTTATGCATGCCCCTTACAGACCTCTTAGGAATGGGGCGAAGTCAATAGTGGATAGTTCAAGGGTAAAGAAGTGGGAGTTAGAGGATGTAACAACAGATTCAGGTAGTGCATTCCAGGCATTGAACACTCTGTTGCTGAAGTCGTACTTTCTGCAATCATGTTTGGAGCGGTTTACATTGAGTTTGTATCTGTTGTGTGCTCATGTATTGTTGCAGTTGAAGCTGAAGTAGTCATTGACTGGTAGGACATTGTAGCAGATAATTTTATGTATTACACTTAAGTCTAACCATAGGCGGTGTAGTTCTAGGTTGTCCAAGCCCAAAATTTCAAGCCTGGTGATGTAGGGTATTCTGTTGTGAGTAGAGGAGTGTAGTGCTCTACTCTACTCTTCTCATGAAATACTTCTGTACTCACTCAATTAATGTCCGATATACAGTGCGGATTCCAGACAGATGAGCTGTATTCGAGTATTGGTCTAGCAAAGGTTTTGTATGCCCTAGTTTGCAATTCAATATTACCAGAGGAGAAGCTTCATAAGATTATACAGTATTTAGAACTCTTAATGCCTTTTTGGCAATGCTGTTAACAGTGAGCTCTGGCGCTTAGGTCATTTGATATGAGTACTCCAAGGTCCTTGACAGAGTGAGTTCTACTATTATCAAGCTCAGCCAAAAACATTGGGAAAACAAATGTTTAACATAAATAATGAAATCATATGCAACTACTAGCATGCATTTGTTCTAATTGGGACTTATCTATTAAAAATAAAAGCTAAGATTCAAAATGAGATTCAGATTCAGTTTCTAACAGATCTTTGTGCAATATTCCAATGTGACCAACTCCAGACAAAATTATTTCCATCTACATTCAGCATAGATTACAGTCCTTTTGACCATCTCTTATTTGTTCTTTGGTTTAATACCATCCCCTTTAAGAAGTCGTTTAATAGTCATTTATCCTGATATTAAGAAACATGTCTGATAAAAAGACATGCTTCTCACATTCCTACTTCAGCTAAGCAGACTACATATTCAGGTATCCAACTAAACAGTCTATTGTCATGAACTTTCTTTATTCACTAAGATTCAGAACACTGGGCTCAATTTTATAGATATGTTGGCCTTCAACTCACATAATCTCCAGACAGCAATAGATTGGGAAGACTGGCTATGGGTGATGGGGTTAAAGTCCAGGATAACTGGAAGGCACCATGTTTAGAAAGTCTGTTTTAATCTCTGAGATGCTTCTAATAATTCTCCTAGAATTTGAATCTTAAGGAAGAGAAGAAAGCACACCTACCAGGAACCAGATTCCAAATTGGCTCAGAAGCCGCTGATCATGCTTGTCATCATCTTTGTTATCAAAATCTGTGTTGTCCAAAGAATGATGAGAGGAAGACAGGCCCAGCTGCCTCCTGCGATTGAGCTCGTACTCTCTTTGTTCAGCATGGAATTCAGCCTCTTTCAGCAGGCTAAAAGATGAAGAACAACACCTAAGATGAACTCCAAAACCTGTATACGAGTTCACTGTACTAACCTTTCAGTGTCAGGCAGTGTGGTTTCTTGGACTGGAACCATGGGTGAATCTGATAGGGCATTGTGGGTTCAATCTGGGTGATACCAATTGGGAAAGGCTGCAATAATGGGACAGAGGATGGGAGGGGTGGGGGGCAGAAAGGAACATTTGGCTATATTATTAAGCTGATTAAGGTTACCTGATGACAGCTTCCACCGTACAGACTAATTCCTCAGCACCACATTCACGGGTATTGATAGGAGGTGGTGATGTCTGATAAAGGTGGGTCTCTGCTGTTGCCCCGACTTCACTGCTGTGATGATTTGAGTGGCATCTTTTGCAGTAACGTACTGGCCTGTTACCATGGCGACCACAGCACCCAGCAGAGAAACATGTCACAACAGCCCTCCTAACATGTGAGCTGCAATTCTGCAAAATAAATAAATAAATAAATGGGATATAGAACTAGCTGACCATCATAGAAATTTACATTTAAAACACTACCTTGGAATGGGTTGAAAAGCTGAAATACTTAGAGAGCTGAGAAATGCAGAGTTCAGATGTGAGCTACAGGTAATCCTTGACATATGACTGCAATATAGCCCTAAATTTCCATTGTTAAGCAAGATACAGGAGTTGTTCAGTGATTTTTGCCTCATTTTACGATCTTTCTTACCACAGTTGTTAAGTGAATCACTGCAGTTGTTAAGTTAGTAAAACGGTTGTTACATTAGTCTGACTTCCCCATTGACTTTGCTTGTCAGAAGGTTGCAAAAGGTGATCACATGGCCCTGGGACTCTGCAACTATCATAAGTACATGCCAGTTGCCAGCTGTCCAAATTGTGATCACATGACCACCAGGATGTCATCGTAAGTTTGAATAGTTACTAAATAAATGGTTGTTAAGTTGAGGACTACCTGTACTAGATTCTAAATTGTTACCCTATTCAACAATGGGAAACCCAGCTCCCAGGACCAGTATTTAGTCCTCTATACTGTTCCTCATTAAGCCTATAAGAGATGGCTTGGTTCACCTCAAACTGGGTGCTTGTGTGACCTTGAAACTTTGTCTGGCAATTCCTGTGGAACTGCAGGTTTGTGCAGCTGACTGTAGAAAACTGGTCAAAAGCTCCAAATGAATTTTCTGAAATTGTTCAAAGTAAAGGCTCTGGCCATTTTCCTGTTAGACATTTGATGGCTGTATTGTTTTGTGAAGAAATTTTGGAAAGGTGCTTTACCTGTGCCTTTGTTCGAGACCCACATTCTGAAGGTATGCACAATACTATTCTTATATTAACCTCCACCCATAATAGTATAGGATAAATATACTGTGGAGAGGTTATGCTTTGCAGTAAATTATCAATCACTCACAACTATTGAAGAAGTTTTGAGAGACAGAGAGAGACCTGGCTATTTGGATATTCAGCTCCTACTATACAATTTTACTACCATTAACAAAATCAACTAGATCTAAAAAAATCTTTTCATCTTTGCATAACATGACAAAAGACAAAAGAGAAAAAGAAAAATGAAGAAAGATGGAACTTTTTTATCTTGATGTGCTACAAGATTATATTCTTTGTTTACAATTGTGAAATTCTGCCTTTGCCTACTACCATGATCTCTACCTTACTCATAGAGGTCAATCACAGTATTTCAGACTGAGCAAATAATCTTCTTTGGGGGAAAACTGTTAGTTAGAAGAAAAATAACGTAACATTCTTCCTTTCAGGGCATTTCTTTGTTTTGCTGGCCCCCCTAAACAACCTGTGCTGTTTCTATTCACTTCAACAGGCTTCCTGGTTTAGTATGAAGCATGCTCATACTTAACCAGACATTATACTATTAATAGCAGTAAAACAGCTCTTAGATTTGTAGGTTGAATGTCAACACATAATAATCAGAACAATTTCAAAATGTGTTAGCAATATAAGATGATTTACGCAGACTTTTATACAGCATGTATAAGCATGATGAGGTGAAGCCAGAAACCAAACAACAACAAAAAAAGCTGAGCTGTATCTCACTAGACATGCACTTCTACCTTACCTTCTTTTGACATATTGCAGAAATTTCAGCTATAAGGGAAGGGAAATTAAAATCAAAAGAGTTATAATCATTCTGCCACCAGGTGCAATATGATAGAGTATCCAGTAAAGCATAATTCTAGGATGGTTTCTGGCTTCTGGATCTTATTGGGTTATTCAGTACCTTATAAAGAAGATTAGAAACATGTTTACATTAAGCCAATATAGTTTATGGTTGTATGGGGTATGGATGTCTGTAACAGAGAGTGAATCATTTTCCTTCATGGCTCAAATCTTTCACCTCCTACCATTCAAAACAAGGCAAATCTTACTCATTTCTCACTTGCCTGGAACTACTTCGGGCTAGCCCACAACACCTTTATTGTCAGAGGCAAAAGCAAGATAATTACTCTGCCTATTCTATGCCCAAAAGCCAACTAAACTGGCAGTTAAATCTTCCTTACACAATACTTCCTAATTTAGAGATTACAGAACTGGTTAAATGACACCTACAACTTTGTTTGCCAGCACTCTGATATTATTTCCTAATATTTGCTGCCTGAGATAACTGTCTCTGTCTGCTGCCTAAGATAATTACCACAGTCTAACAGTTGGCCAGGCCTAGGTGTAGTAGTGGATTGTGACTTGCATAACAGAAATTTTTGCATAAACCCATTCAATTCCTAAGCTCGGAGGCTAAAATATTCATACAAAGAAGATATGCAATCATGGATTACAAGTAAAAGTTTTAGGAATAATGAATAACATTGGATTTGGAGAGGGACAATAATCTACAATTTAGCACTATACATCTCTGGTGAAAATGTATTCTACTCAGGACATTTCAGAAACTGCCTGGATGTTGGCAGTAAGAACAGTATTCAAACTTTAAAAAATGTATTACTCATAAAACCTCTCTGTTAGTCTTGCTGTACATATAATCATAGATAAAAATATAATATATGCATTCTAAAACTAAAACTGAAAACAAACATGTTGACTTTTTATGTATTTATAAACTCAGTGAATATATTTTTACTCTTTTCATTCTTTTAAAAACTATTGCCTCAATTTAATCCAATTTTTAAAAAGAAAAATTACATATGCCTTGAACAATTTGCTTGAACAATTTTAATATATGCTTTGTTTGAAATTGATTGGAATTGTTCGAAAATATCCAACATTAACATCATTATATCTGATTAAAAGTCAGATATAGTGTGATGGTTCACAGTAGCAATAGCCTAAAACCAATGAGCATTATATCCTATTAAACATCATGAATCCAAACATAGTCATAGTTAAAAGAAAGCTACTCAAGATCTATATATTATATTGAGTCTATTTCAAATCTGACTAAGTCCAGATTCTTTTTATTGAAAGGGTCTTAGATTTGCAAAAATAAGAATTAAGCACTTTAAGAATAACATTCATATTACCTCTTCTCTTAAAGAATAATCCTGAAATAGGAACCTAGAAAATTATTTTATTTCAGATTGTATGTCCATTTACCACAGGCTTGCCTACATCAAAGATGATGATAAAGCTCTTACAATTCTAAGAATGATTAAATTGTTTGACTGTTGAGCTGAAAAAAGAAGAAAGTGAACCTGAGCATTTTTTACATGCAAAGACTTTCCATCCAGCTATGAATACCCTTTGAAAATCCTTATAACATTTCACAAGTCATTATTTTATAAATATTACTATGTCGATACTGTGAATATTACTTTCTTTCATGTTAAATTCAGTCTTACCTTGTGGTAAAAGAACATCAACCAACCATTCACTGTGATCCCTTAAAAGAAAAAAAAAAAGGAATTAGAATGGACTGTGATGTCATCTATCCATTCAATGAAACAGTCATATTTTGAATTTAATGATTATGTATGTGGGCTAAGTTCTTAAGAATTCTCTGAGAAGAATTCTTGCAGGTATTTCTACAAGTTGAAGGGGAGAGATTGGAAGACTTCCACCAATTAGTTCTTCTACTTCTGCTAATCTTATGCTTCTGAAAAGCTATTTCACACGCCTGGGAGAATGAAGAGAGAGAGAAGCCTTTATGGGAGACATTGCCTAAAATTAATTCCCCAATTAATGGGAATTAAACATACATGAAGAGCTCTCAGATACCTAATTAGGATCCAAGCTTTTATTTTTACTTTTAAAACGGCAGTTGGACAACTTTAGCTTCTGTCATTCATTTATTCCAAGTCTGCCTGACTATTTTTCATGTTACAAAGAACACTCTAATTTAGAAGATACCAAAATATACAGAGAAACAAAATCTATTTGGCAAAAAGATAAAATACTAAAAAAGAGAATAAATAGTTCTAAGTGTAAAATAACTTATCCCTGTATAAAGCTTGGTCTTCTTTCTAAATTAATTAATTTTGCTTTAGATTTAAAGCAAGGATTATGTCAACACAAAGGTGACTTATAAAATTAAAACACTTTTTAGTAATCCTTTGCAAGTGGCATCATTATAATGATAAAACAATGATAAAGCAGCAGCCCAAAATCACATCTTCTGAACCACGTGTCCAGGAATTGGTGGCCACATACTTCCAATTTTGATAATAATTAGATTTTAAAACTTAGGCCAAAAAATAATCTATCTTCTCCGCTTAATGAACAACCCTGAGTTAAATTTCATTCTTAATATTGCTATTTTAATAAAATAATATGTGTTCCATTCTGAGTATCTCATTAAAGCAAATACTGTAACAGTGAGAAGTCTTATTATATACTTAAGAAACAACAAATGAAGGGGGAATACATGGCCTTACATTACAATTTACAACTTAATGCTATACAATAAGAATAGGATTTGGGGTTTTTTTCTTACCAAGACTGAATTCCTTCAGGGAATATAACAGTGCTAGATAAGGGCTCAACTGAAAGCAGCAGCAGCAAGAGCCAGACCTTAAAGTATGTAGAAAGTTCACTTCTCCCGTCTCCCTTTCTTCACCCTTTTTGACTTGTGACTTCTAATGCCACTCAGCCACCAATAAAGCCCATCCATATGTACTGTTTCAACGAGCTGACTGATAGTTGGATTTATTTTCAGAGATGCTATAAACAATAGTAGCTAATTGATGCTTGAACTTAGGTAAAAGACAAGATATGACTTTGGTGATATGGGTTTCCCATCTCTGTTACAGATCCATGTGGCAGCATGGCAGCACTGAAGCAACCACAAATTTGCCAAGTGTCTACTTCACATGAGTCCTGGGTCCTGGATTTTGGACACATTCTCAAAGTTAGCTCATGTGAGGTATTGTGGTACAAAAATTGTTGCCCATGATACTGTGAGCCGGATCTCCAGCATGGATTTTCTCTTTGACGCATGCTTGCTATTGGCTGCCACAGTAACGGGGGCGGGGGGGTGGCATTGGGGTCTGGGAAGTCAGCTGGTCTGATGATGGTGTAAGCTTCTCCTCTGGTAATACTGAATTATTAACTAGGGCATACAAAACCTTTGCTAGACCAATACTTGAATATAGCTCGGCTGTCTGGAATCCGCACTGTATATCAGACATTAATACAATTGAGCGTGTCCAGAAGTATTTCACAAGAAGAGTACTACACTTCTCTGTTCGCAACAGAATACCCTACAGCACCAGGCTTGAAATTTTGAACTTGGACAACCTAGAACTACGCCGCCTACAGTTTGACTTAAGCATAGTTTATAAAATAATCTGCTTTAATGTACTACCAGTCAAGGACTTTTTCACCTTCAACTGCAACAATACAAGAGCACACAACAGATATAAACTTAATGTACACCACTCCAAACTTGATTGCAGAAAGTACGACTTCAGCAACAGAGTGGTCAATGCCTGGAACACACTACCTGACTCTGTTGTCACATCCCCAAACCCACGTTTTTTTCCCCTCAAACTAACCACTATTGACCTCACCCCTTTTCTAAGAGGTATGTAAGAGGCGTGTGTACCTGTCCTATTGTCCCCAATTATTCATACCCATTTCCTGCATTTATACTTCTGCTTATTATCTTGTAAGCTATTGACAAATAAATACAAACAAACAAACAAATAAATAAAATGAAGGCCTGTGTGAACTAAAAGGGAGTTTTGCTCTCAAGAATTACTGGGCTGCTGAATTGAGTTGTTTATACCCAGTCAAGGCCAACAGTCCTAGAACTCCAGATGGACTAAAGCACCTGAAGACGTGCTCCACATGACACTGTGCAGGATGTGGATTGGACATGCAGCCTGGATCCCTGGGGGGAGGGATTTGGGGAAACTTTCAATATGTAACATTCGCACCTTTTGGCTCAGATCTTGCTTTCCTTTCGCCACCATCATTTCAAACTCAGTAAAAGTACCTCTTCTCTACCTCAATGGAGTCAGGAACTTTCTTTCTTGGGTTTTGAACGGAGGCAGGCCTGACAGAGACACTGTTTCACCCAGTTAAAAGTTAGACTTAAGAGTTGTAGTAGATTTTATATAGTAGATTTTAATATAGATTTTACTAAAGACTGAGATCAAAAATAGTTTAGCCAACTATATCATATAGAGGCATCCAATAGGATAAGTTTTCTTTAAACACTTGGAAAATCCTGACTCCTTCTATTATACATTTTCACTTCCTTGTATCTTTGAATCTTAATCCTTTTTGCTTAATTTCAGTCATGACAAGGACACTACTCCCTGCTCTGTTTTTATTTGTAACACAGAGCCCACTGTAACTACATAGCCAAAAAGGCATTAAGAGTTGTTAACCTAATCCTATGTAGCTTTTTCTCTGGTAATATCACACTACTAACTAGAGCATACAAAACATTTGCTAGACCAATACTTGAATACAGCTCATCAGTCTGGAACCCACATTACGTATCTGATATTAACACAGTTGAGAAAGTCCAGAAATATTTCACAAGAATAGTTCTCCGCTCCTCTACTCATTGCAGAATACCTTATGCCACCAGACTTGAAATTCTAGACCTAGAAAACCTAGAACTACACCACCTTCAGTCCGATCTAAGTATAGTATATAAAACCATGCATTGCAATGTCCTACCTGTCAATGAATACTTCAGCGTCAACCATAACAATACAAGAGCACACAATAGATATAAACTCAAGGTAAACCGCACCAAACTTGATTGCAGGAAATATGACTTCAGCAATAGAGGGGTCAATGTTTGGAATACTCTACCTGACTGTGGTTTCTTCCCAAACCCCAAAAACTTTAACCTTAGACTGTCTACTATTGACCTCACCCCTTTCCTAAGAGGTCTGTAGGGGGCGTGCATAAGCGCACCAACGTGCCTACCGTCCCTGTCCTATTGTTTCTTTTTTATTTTTCTTATACATATCCATTTCATGCATTCATAACTATGTTTATACTTATACTTGTTATCTTATAATTGCTTGACAAAATAAATAAATAAATAAATAAATAAATAAATAAATAAATAAATAAA